GCGCCTAGACCTGTGACAAGTGTCAGAGGTACGCACCAATGAATCATGAACATGCAAAAGAACTTAACATCCTTACTAGGGCATGACCCTTCAAGAAATGGGGCATCGATCTTGTTGGTCCGCTTAAGAAGGCCATAGGAAACAATGAGTACTTAATAGTAGCAACATATTACTTTTGTAAGTGGATTGAGGTAGAACCTTTATCTCTGATAACTAGCGCAGTGGTCATACATTTTTTTTTTTTGGAACAGACATTTCTTATCATTTTAGAATGCCTCACACTATATTTATTGACAATGGTTTGCAATTCACCAGCTTTGAAGTCATGAACTGGTACAAGGTTTTAGAATCCGTCATCTCACCTCCACTCCACAATACCTTAGGGCAACGGTCAAGCAGAAGTTTCAAACAAGACAATCTTACAATGTTTAAAGAAAAGACTTGAGGAAAAGGGCAGATGGCCAAAAGAACTGCTCGAAGTTCTATGGCATATTGCATCACTGTTTGTAAATCAACTAGGAAACCTCCATTTCCAATGCTTATGGAACATAAGCTATTATTACTGTCCAAGTCATAACAATGCCAAACTTATACATTGAAGAAATGACTGAGTTAGAAAAAGTTGAGATCGTCAAATCCGACCTCGACTTTGTAGAAAAACGTAGGGAATGTGCCCAAGTTTGATTTGCTGCCTATCAACTTCAGATTCAGTCATACTAAAAAGAGGTGTTAAGTCTCAAAGTTTTCATGTTGGAGACCTTGGCTTAAGGAAAATCTTCCAAAACATAAAACTACCAAATAGGGCAAGCTAGGGGCAAACTGGAAGGGTTGTATAGAGTCGTGGGAATAGGAGACAGAGGAACATACAACCTGACTCACATCGATAGAACTCTAATGGCCAAAAGGTGAAATGTCACAATTTCCAGCGGTACTACTAAAGATCTCACAATGTTGTGGCCTACGTATAAACAAATTTATGGAGAACTCATATCTTTAATGCCCCGCCATAGGCTACTGGCCAAGAATGGTTCATAATGCATTACAAATCACGACATTCTTTCTTAGAACTAGACCAGTGATTTGATTCTTCTTCCCAAAGATATATAGGCAGTTTAATTCGGATTCAATCACACCCCCTCATTAAACCCCTATTTCTTTTATAATAAAAAAGTTTAAAGTTTAATTATCTCTCGACCTTTGTCTGTTCCTTCATTTGTTTTTCTTTTTTTATGGTATAGGGAATCCCCAATATCCTAAATAATACAAGCTTTGAAATTTCGCATAATTGCAAGTCTAAAAATTCAAAGTGATAATGTAAGAGGAGTCTCCTATAGCCCATTTTGTGGTGTTCTAGTTAGCACCTTAGGAGGCTCGAGCCGTATTGAGTGCGGCTACGATAGGCAGACTACAGACACAGAGACATTGCCCCTTACTCTGCAAGTTCCAACGTACCATCCAGTTTTTGAAAAGATTATACAACCAAATGATTGTAGGTTATAACATCTGAACCTAAGCTCTACACCATTCGAGCGAATAATCGAAAAGGCTATCCAAAAATTATCTGATTGGTTGCTCTGAACTCTGACTTGGAGTCTGATTACTTTTATATTGAACCAGCGTACTACGCCAAGTACATTATGCGGCACCATATGTCTAATGCAGGTTTGAATTAGGAATCCAAACTAGGAAACCCTCCAGAGGAATTTTTATTTTAGTGGAGCTCTAAAACATGAAAACACCTTAGCCAAGTTAACTAAGTGTAGTCTGATCAAAAATGCTCAGGTCCAACGCATATGGTCTAACAAAAAGATCAAAAAGGTGTTTCTGACCCACATACAAGTGACCAATTACTTAACAAACTTTCATTTAAGATTCACTAGGATGAACACATAATTTGGACTAAGAAGAAAACCCCTTCTTGGTGGCACGTTGCAACTATTAAAATCCTCAAACCTGGAATCGGCAAGATGAAAGAACAAACGGACATATAGTCTCACTTAAAGGAAGAAGATTACACTAACATTAAAAACCGTACATCATTTCGGGCATGACTCATCACTTTCTCATCCTTTATCTGACCATTGCATCAAAGCATGTTTAGAGTAAAAGATTTTTCATGAGTTTTTAAACTTGGTGTTAGAATATGGTGGTACTCCGATTATCATAGTGAAAATCTCTGTAAACACTAAGTTTGAGAGGCAACATTTTTCCAAATCAATGTTATTGAGAGAGGCTTATAGCTCTGTCCCAGGCTTACAAGCTTATTCGTGTTTTGCTCTGTTACTTATTACTCCATAGGTTTACTTCATAAAAATTTGTCAGATTAAAACTTTATTCCGTGATTAGGAAACAAATGATGAAAAGTTCCAAGCGCTTTACTCTAACAAGATCAATGACTTGGTTAAAACAACACTTAAAAAAATGTGTAGGCACATGTGTATAGCATAATCAAAGTCCCATGAGTTGGGAAAAAAGTACAATTCTTCGGGAAGACACGCCCTCACCCTTACCGAAAAATTTATGTAAGAAAGGTGCTTTCTTCCAGTGGTGATGCTTGTTATTCTAGCTTGTTCAGCTGACTTTAGGAGGATGATGAGAGGATTCAATGAAGAAGAACCCACTGAACAATCTCGACACTCTGCTCAAGTTGAATGCGTATGCAAAGGTTGCAAGGAGGATGTTGTTATAGAGCAGAGTATGGAGATACAGAACCTGATGAGGAGAAAAGTTTACTATGTTTTGGCTTGTCCTTAATTTTTTATAACAATGAATGGGAGCGTTGCAGATTTCTTGGCTACATGTCCTAATTATCAAGGGCTAAAACTAAGGAATGGGTACAAGAGTTGGAGTATAGCAAAAATGGAGGAGAGCCATACTTTGGATATGAAATTTGGAAGAGAAAAGTTTGAAAAAAAGGAAAGAAAATATAAGCTATGAAAAGAGTCTTTGAATAATCTCACAGTTGAATTCAGAACGCCTCACCTCGAGAGTCATGTGTCCAAAGGCAGAAGTCAATTGATAATGTAAGGAGCCGCCCCTTGTTTATTGTGCACACGTAATATGACATCCCTCATCATTGTTGTCTTCGTGCCACAACTTTCGAGCCTGAATGTCTAAACAACTCATGACTTACGAAGTTGAATTACCACATGTTGGAAAAATTCAAAACGATATGTATTTCGCTTTACTTCAAAAGGCATGGTCTTTGGATCCTCAAGGGGAACAACCCTTTTAGTTGCATAGTTAGGGGCAATTATAGGACCATAATTTTTCAGGGCCGGAGGAAGGTGGATTGGAACAAGAATACCTCAGAAGTCCCGTCATGGACAACTTTCACCACAAAACTGTACAAATGCATCAGTGATGCCACCATTATCTTGTTTCGAATAAGTAAGAAGTCCGTCGACTTAGCTAAGATTGACCATTCTTGTTCCGTAAGATAGGGAAACTAGATCTGTTATGGAATCAGCCAGGTTTCCTATATTCTTGGACATTCCTACAATTTAGAGATTTGGCGTGCGGCATATGTAATCACACTCTTAAGATCATGCAATATTTACTCCTAGAAATCCTCTGGAATTCTCAAAGTTTAATACGGATTCTATATCCTAAAAGGACTCATCTTATCTGGTATAAATACGTCAATCCAGGGTTCTTCTCTGGTAATACAATTATCACATACTCCATTCTCTAGCCACTGCTTGAATCTCAAGTATTTGCTTACTAACTTGATCGTCATAGAGCCTTTGGCAGGCACCCAACCATTCCTAATGTTGCTTATGGTAGTTTCTTGTTTTAAAGGTAGTTGAGTTTGTGCATCTCCACTGCTTGTGGCTGTGCACGAATTGGTCCCAACAAGCACCAAAAATAATTTGAAATCAGGTTTCATTTTCTCATTAATCCTACTCCTCTTTCTCTGCCCTCCAAACAATACAATCAGAATCAAAATCATTTGGGCCAAGGATTGCAAGGGAAAGGGTGGGTTGATGATTCGATGGAAAGGGGTTGGGTTACAGATAGACGGGAAAGGGAGGAGTCGACGTATTATAGAGGACGGGTGGCTCGACGAAGCTGGCGACTTAGATCTGGAAGAAGACTGACTGGCGGGAGTTGATGCTTGACTTTGCTATTGTTGATGAGACAAGTGACCCGTGAGATGTTATTATTTTGTAGTTTTAATTGTTTTTAAAACATTTTAAATTTTTTTGGTTTTTATATAATTCACATGGCACAATATTATTATAACACTGGGTTCTCTCTGTGTGCCAAGTGAGCACACTGATAAAAATTTTGATGGGATTCTAACGGAAAAACGAGATGATTTACGGCATCTAATTTTCAGGACGAAATTGATTGATTTTCGATTTCAATGACTAAAGTGAAGAGTTTGATCAATTTATGATAAAACCTTTTTTTTTTTTTTTTTTTTCAGCCGTTCTTCCATGGCCACTTCTCTAGTGTTGCTTACTTTTCAAGCTTCTTAAATCAATTATATTTTTGGGGAAAGTCAGATGCATATTCCTTATTTTTGTTGGGCATGAGCTTATGATCCTATGGAAGTCAATCATGCATGTTCTTGTAGGCACCAAGTCTGTCTCTACTCACTACGAGCCACCAGCAGAGATTAGGTTTTTGATGCTAAAGTAACTAAAGATATGGCAACCAATTTGCAGCTTAATTGAAAACAAACCAACCAACAATGTCCAATCTGTCAAATTACAATCAAACATACAGAGATGAGAGATGTTTCATTTACGTTGAGGTAACCACGACTGGCACTAAGGCCAATAGCAAGTCAACTAACAAGCACTTTTTTTTTTTAAGTCCTCTCTACTGCTGATTAATTGACATTGTCAATCAATTAATTTTATCATTAAAAAAAAATTATTGAAAGAGCTCAGCTGGCGGGTAACGTTGGTTTTGGTTGGCAAAGTTCACATGGCTCTCACTTTGTATCATTCAATTCAACACATCACATGAAAAATTAATTAATTAAAAAAAAAAGAAATTTTAGAAAAGAAAAGTGTAGCCCAAGAAAAAGTTGAGCACCTAGCTAGTGACTTAAGAAGAATCAGGAACCACCTTGAAAATGGCCTCCCCTTTTCTTTATCAGACGTGATCCTAGTTTCTTTTTCCAAACTTTTCCCAACATTTTGCATCCTATTGGATTTAAAGGAAGCAAACACTTCAACTTTGATCATTAAAGCTTGGAGCTCGATCAGCAAAAAACTTTTCTTTATTTGTCTTCAACAATAATACAGCCAGCCATGGATATTTCTATGAAAAGAAGAACGCTGCTTAAGGTCATCGTCCTTGGAGATAGTGGGTATGTGATGCCATAACTGATTTTCTTTCTGCTGTTAGTTTTTTATACAAGGATATTGGAAGAGGGTAATCGAACTTGAGCCCTCATGTGTAAGGACGAACGTCCTTTAACCAACTTAGTTACAAGCCCCTTACACTAATTCTTCTTTTCCCCTGTAATCGGGTTTGTTCACTGATATCAACTATTTTCTTCTTTGCGCCCCCCCCCCCCCCCCCCCCCCCCACCAAAATAAAAAAAGAAAAAGAAAAAGAAAAGATCTATTCTTTACTGATATGAACTATGTTCTTCTTGTTTGTGTGCAATTTCAGGGTGGGAAAGACGTCTTTGATGAATCAGTATCCTTTCCATATATGCAACCAGAACCGTAATTATATATGAACACACACACACACACACAGAGAGAATTGATCAGTTGTCATTAATTCTGTATTTTATGATGTTGGTGTTTGATTTCTCTTCGTTTGTATGTCCACATGCTGCAGTTAACACAAATATTGAAGAATGTGGTTTATTTTCTGAAAGGGTAGATGTGGTTTGAATTCTTGTTTTGCTGCGATCAGGTCTTGTATATACATATTTTTCATGAAAAACTGTAGTTGAATGGCGGTTCTTTGTTAGTTTGTTCATGCATAAATTTTGAGGACATGAATGGACAAGCATTAAACTGGAACTTATCGTTAGTAATTGATTCCACATAACATGGTTTTATGCAAACTTGTGCATGGCTACATTTGAATATACTACTATGCGTGGATCCTTTATGTTTTGTCCAGATATGTTTATAAGAAGTTCAATCGACAATATAAAGCTACAATTGGTGCAGATTTTGTCACCAAGGAACTTCAGATTGATGACAAATTGGTGACCTTGCAAGTGAGTAATTAGAACATTAATACTATCTTATATATTATTCACATACAGCTAACTAAACAAGGCTTAATTATGCTCTTTTTTAATATGTTTGCTGCGTCTGTATTTGACAGATTTGGGACACAGCAGGGCAAGAAAGATTTCATAGTCTTGGAGCTGCGTTTTATCGCGGATCAGATTGCTGCGTTCTTGTGTATGATGTGAATGTTAATAAATCATTTGAAGCACTTCAGAACTGGCATGAAGAGTTTCTCAAACAGGTTTCCGAAAACGGTTCTTCATTTTTCCAATTTGTCAGTTCATGGTACGTAATCTTTATTTCCGAATATTTTCATTTTCATTTTCATTAATGGTTATCAGGCAGATCCAACTGACCCAGCAGCATTTCCCTTCATACTACTGGGAAACAAAATTGACATAGATGGTGGAAACAGCCGTGAGGTATATATACATGGATAAATGATGCATCCTGAAAATTTTCTAAGCTTTATTCTTGGAATTAATACAACATATTAATTTTGCAGGTTTCTGAGAAGAAAGCTAGGGAATGGTGTGCTGCAAAGGGAAACATACCTTACTTTGAGACCTCGGCGAAAGAGGATTACAATGTTGATGAAGCATTTCTATGTGTTGCAAAAACAGGACTAACCAATGAACATGAACAAGACATGTAAGTACACAACTTGACATGATTACCATTCTTTCTATACACAACAAAATGTATAGGGTTCATTCTGGTTCCTTCCACATCTTTTATTGTTGCCTATCTTGATTATGGTATGCTTGGCTGTTCTTTCAGCTAAAAGAATTTCTAGAATGGCTAAAAGCGCTTTTAGAATGTCTAAAAGTGCTTTCACATAACCAAAAACACTCGTGATAACATTTGGAAGCAAATGTTCAAATGCTTCCAAGTTCCGGGGTCGGAAAAAAGATAATGCTTCCAAGTTAAAAGATTTGTAGTGTACATATGGAGAAGGACCTAGTAGCAAGGTGTTCACCACACTTCTGAGTGTTCATCTAGGAAAACCACTGTTCTAAAAATCCCCGCCTAGGCGATAGGCGGCTGGTCACCGCCCCGATTAATGCTTAAGCATTTGAAAATTATGAAAGGGCGCCTAGACCAGCTGAGGCGCCCGCCCAGACCCGCCTAGGCACCTGCCTAGGTTACGACTCACTTAGACAAAAAAATAGATAACTTTCTTTTTGCATTTAATTTTTTTTAATAAATTGTAAGAGACTTGTTGAATACTTAAATGAGCACAAACTATATGCGCGTTCCCCATGTTTTCATTATGTTCCAATACTTCATAATACATATGTTATTCTATTTTGTAATTTATGATGAAATTATATATATTTTAAGTATAAACAGATACTTATTTACACGAAATATGATGAATTTAATTAAATCCGTCTAGTCCGCCTAGGCGCCTAGGCGCCTAGGTGCTAGGCCAATGGATTTACTTAAATCCACCTAGTCCGCCTAGACGTCCTCCCGCCTAGGCGCCTAGGTGCTAGGCCCCAGCTCGCCACCCGACTAGCACCTAACGTCTTTTAGAACCTTAATGAAAACTTGGATTTCATCGTGCTTATTAAAGCAGTTCTAGCAAAAAGTTTTTATGAGCATAAATGTTTCGTACAAAATCACTCTCAAACAAACCCATTGTCTCTTTTTCGTTTCTATCTCGAAGGTACAACATAACCAAGCTAATATGCTAGTTTTCAATGCTGCAGTTACTTCCAAGGTATTTCAGAAACTGTTTCAGAAGCAGACCAAAGAGGAGTCTGTGCATGCTAAGGATGGGCTACCTCTTCTGAATATGTAATATTTTTTTATAATTTTTTCATTCTTTTGAGGGTGGAAGAAAATATGTCATACCTTCATGTGTTATAGTGTGCCATCGAGCATTCCTAAATGTACCATTGTGAGTCTACATTTTAGCTCTAATTTTCACAACTGCGTATGAAATGAACTATGTACCATTGTTTCTGTTCGAATTAAAATAACCAAGACAGAAATATCTTATTATGAGTATGGTTTTACCTTCTCATGAAGCTTTTATTTTTAGGTTCCGAGTCTTTTTTCTTTCTTTTCAATATAACGGTATTAAGAGTGGGGAATTTGGATTAAGCCGCACAGTGAAACAACCATAATACGATATCAAAATGTATTATTCATGGGACTTCAATCCAAGACCTCTCACTTACAAGTGAGGAGGAATACAACTAGATTGTAGTGCTAGTGGCTAGACTTTGACTATAACTATAAGACACTTAGATAAATACTTTATTTTGTACAACTATGTTGACATTAAGGGCTGAAAATAAATTGGTATAGAACTTGTCACACCCGATCGTGACATACATCTAGGATTGACGCGTGATGCTTTACTGTAGGGGATGTGAGGAAATACAAACAAGAAATACCGAACTGAAATTATAATAAAATAAGATGGTGGGTTATGGTCATAATCAAGACACCGAAAATCACGAAGGATGCACCCATACATCCATTAGCCCTTCTAAATCAATACACAAGGTTCTCAAATCTATCGTTCATAAATACAAAACTATGGCTATAGAGACACAGTTTGGTTGAAGCCTATACCTCTAAAGCTTCACATTGTAGACCGAATCTAAGGCATCAATGAACCAACAAAAACAAGGTATGCGATTTCGGACCACTTAATGAAATCAATGAAGATTGGGTTCCGGATCACTTGTGAAGTCAAGACTTAGTTGCTTTTGGCTTTCTTTGTCAATCTTGTAATTATGTACCACACATGCTCTTTAGATCAATTTTCCTTAGATTAGACTTTAGGATACTTGGTTCTAAAATCTGAGTTATGGAGGATCAAAGTGCTAATGGTGTTGCCTCAACTCAAGTAAGGTTTGTACATGTATATACATTTTACGTTTAAATTTCTTATGCATTATGACTAGTGAAGTTGTCCTATCATAATTGCTTACTGTTTTTATGCGAGCTGGGCATGCAATTTAAGGCAGCCCACATGGGCTGACTGACACCTTTTATATGAGATTGAATCACTATTGATCTGCTCAGATTGCTTTTACATTTGACAAGTATCTTTTTGTATTCTTGTCTGCAGCAATCAAAGATTATTTTTTAGAAAGTGTCTTTGTTTTGCGTCTCCAACTCAGGTCTCCTAGGCGTATCAAGCATTTTTTTGGGTATAGTTCTTCATTGAATATTTATAAAACTATCCATGAAAATGCTTGCTTAAATCTTCTTAGAGGCTTTAATATGCTAGTTTTCAATGCTGTAGTTACTTCCAAGGTATTTCAGAAACTGTTTGAGAAGCAAATCAAAGAGGAGGCTATGCATGCCATGATCATCCCCAATTAGGGGTTCTATAAGAGGCTGGAAAAGTGGTGGATATACCTCATTTTAAAGCTATGAGAACTCTTTGCGTCTCTAAAAAAGAATATCCCCCAGTGAGGGGCTATATACCTTTCAGGCTCTATATAGGGCTATACATTTTTTTATGTTGCGATATCATTACCCAGCAACTTTTTGGTGCGTGTTAACTTTTCTTAAGTTAGTTTTTGAATGTATTATCTAAATTCTTTGTATGAACTTTTCAACCTAAAAAAATTTAAATTTTGACAAAATTAGATTTCATCACTTATGAACCGTTGGATTAGATTCTCTTATCTCAATCTCATCTGTTGGAAAATTCAAATGTCCACTTTGCACTCCGAAATAATTAGATTGCACATGTGTGTAATTAATATGCACATAATGGCTAAGTCTTGTCTTTGTAGCATTTTAATAATTAAATTGTAATGACTTTACAATTTAGGTTCGTTTGCTTGTTTATGCTTTTAAATAAATAAATTGTAATGCCCATACAATTTAGGTTTGTTGTTTTTTATGTTTTTGGTTTAGGTCTTAAACTACCAGTGTCATTTCAATATGTAGTGTTATTTATTTTGAAATTAATAAAAGTAAGTCGTCCTTTTAGTAGAACATCTTATATCATTTTATGTCTTAAACATTATACATACAAACAAAATGTAGGACCCTTTGGAATAAAAAATTAAAAAAAAAGAATCAAAGAAAAGGAATAAAAAATGACAGTATAAGTGTAATCGCAAGTAGACGAAGTGTGACATAATTTGGCTCACATGGGTTGCTACTTTTCTCATGGGACCCACTGTTTTTTTGGGCTGGATGTAGCCTAATTTTTTGCTACCCAAGGAATGAAGTTGCCAACTCAAGTGGTGGATCTAGTCCAATTTTCTGGCTCATTAGGGATGCAATTTTTTTATTTTTTTTTGGTCGAAATTAGGAATGATATTTTTCACTAGGACTTTAAATATAGTAGCCTTGTAAAGGATAAAGTCTCCATTGGAGATACTCTAGGGATGGACTATCTCTTCTGAATATGTAAAATAATTTCTTTTGAGGGTGGAAGAAAATATGTCATACCTTCATGAATTATAGTGTGCCATCGAGCATTCCTAAATGCACCATTATAAATCTACATTTCAGCTCTCTAATTTTCACATCTGCGTGTGAAAATGAACAATGTACCATTTCTCTACTCGAAATAAAGTAACCATGACAGAAATATCTTATTATGACTGGTTTTCCCTTCCGATGAAGCTTTTATTTTAACGTTCCGAGTCATATTAACGTTCCGAATCATTTTTATTTCTTTCACTATAATGGTATTAAGAGTGGAGAATTTGGATTAAGCCACATAGTGAGACAACCACAACACGATATCAAATGTAATATTTGTGGAGTCTAAAATAATTTCAAAAATTCTAGAGGCGACACGTGGACTTTTGCTCAAGAAAAACAAGATTGCCCTCGTTAAATGAGCAGACTCCTCATATACTCCTACACCCAGCTCAACACCCCTGAAGGTCCATATAGCTGAAAACAACTGCCCACAGCTCACCTTCCCATGACAAGGAAAAGTCAAAGCATTAAAGATAAGGATTAATAACCCAAATCATATCTTTAATACATTCCCATTTAAAGATTGACTACATTCTCAATTAAAGATAGACTCCATTCAAGTAAGTAATATATTTAACTCAATTAGGGATATTTACACCATTATCTCAAGCTATTATTTTCTACTTAATATCTTGAGAATATTCTCTCCATAAACCTTGGATGCCGCCATGTGTAGGGTAAAACCCTAACAACATAGTCGGCCATTCCCCTATTCATTCCTCCATCTCTACCAAATTTTGGTAAGTTTTGGAACCCCTAAAAGCCCTAAACACCCCTCACCCTCCACCTCGTGGGCCTGTGAGGCTTAGGTTTTTGATCAAAAGTGTTGATTGTTTTACAGGTGCATTTTTTGTCGAAGGAAGAGATGGAGGAAATTTGCATCGACAAATTGGTGCTTTCATTGAAAGCTCATTAAAATACTCGAAGAAGACTCTCGCAATTGGTTTTAGAATTTTCTATTATGTTGAATTTCTCACATATCACATCAATTAATTTTTCCTAGAAAAGTTTCTTGATCAATCCTTGGAGAAGAATACAATGATAGGAAATTCATAAACCACGGTGAATGAAATCAGTATGTTCAAGGATTTGGACCAGAGAGTGGAGACAAGGACATAGCCCTACGACGGCGATACTTAAGGCTCAATGTGACCCAGTAGCAATAGCAGGGCTACTAGGCCACGACCCAAGAAGGTGCCATGCAGTGTGCCGATCCCCAAATCCCTGGGCAGGAGGCCCAGGTCCATGTAATGGCCCATGGGTATGAGGCTCAAGGCGTGGCAACTACCATAACAGGCTTAGGGTAGAAGGCCCAGCCCATTGCAGTAGCAAGCCTTGTTGCACAGCTGTACCAGCCAACATGAAGAGCCTACGGGCAGGTAGCCCAGGCTCACCTAGCTGTCAACCTGGCCTACCTTACTACTAGCCAAGCCCAAGCCCAAGCCCGGGAAGAGCAAACCCTAACCACCCAAAAGGGTTGGCCCACCCCGTAACTCGTTCTAGTGACCCATCTCGCAACCCTAGACCAGTCAAAGATCATTTCAGGCAATCCAGATTCTGACCATTGGACCAACGATCGACCCAGGGATGTTTTCATCCATTTTTTTGCAAGTTTGCCCGCTTCGAGCTTGAGTTTTATACTTGCAGCTCATTACACTTCCACCACATATGGAGACGCCGATCATCCATACTCTTCCACTCTAAATGGCGGACATTAGCTGGCCCGGCAGGTCGTTAACTTAACCAGCGCCTTCGCGTAATAGGCCATCTTGGTAAATCAGCTCCTTAAGCGCATCGAGACGCATCGCCCCCCAGATAAGGTGTCCCAAGAAGGACAAGGACAGATGATCATGACTCATTCCAACAATGTATTAAAAAACAACCGTTTAGCTCGCCACGAACTGTGTGTTCGGATGGTGTACACTCTCGGTTTGGCCCTTAAGAAAACATCTTCTCCCACCTTAGTGCGTAGAGAAACTTTCATTCCCGACTTATCTCACGAGTCAGTGTGCATTCAAGGTTGGGTCCACACTCTAATGAGCACTCCGGACATTCTTGGTGAAGTGTTCACACAAGGTTAGGTCCATAAAGAGATCCTTCTGCAAGGCACCATAGTAGGCAACTACAAGATAGACCGAAGAGAGCACGAGAGCGAGCAGGACATCAATAAACTATCAAACCAAACAATGTGGTCAAGAGTATTGTATTAGAGAAAGCTCGTATTACATTGTAATCCCAAACTGGATAGGTTTTCCACCTCGTCTGATTAGCTTGGGTAGCCATGACATACTGCTAGGTGTCACTCATGGTTTGTGGAAGCCCTAAAGGTGTTTAATCACTAAAGGGATAATTGAAAGTAAGTTTCAAATCACAATCGATTTGAAGAGTTCTAATCGCCAATTGTCTTGCTAAAAGGAATCTAATGGATCATACACCGAGTAAGGTAGAGATTGAAGAAACAACGGAGATGAGTAAGGATAATTAAATGGTTTAATTATTTATGGCTAGGATTAATTAATATGTTAATTAATCAATCG